TCTGACTCCTGCAGCTCTTCTTGGATGCAGGGTTGCCAAGTCCGCGTTTTTTTCCACAGAATTGGGCTACTTTTAAACTGTTGCCATGGGTTGATATTCCCAAGTGGGTTAAATGATTGAAATGTTGCATAAATTACCTTTGACTGAAATGCTTGTATTGAAACATTTAGCATTCTACCTGTGATAAAACTTTCGTGGACTTCTGCATTAACTATTCCCTCCTGGTTGACTGACCTTCCCAACTCAATCCAAGCCGTCCTTAATATTTTAAAGAAACGGCTGAAAACACATCTCTTTCATCTTCATTTGACCCTCTAACTCTAGCACTCTCTATTCTAATGCTACTTCTAATTTTATCTCCTTTTTTTTATTCAAAAACTTGACCCTTTAACATTTGCGCACTCTATTCTATTTCTATTCTAACTTTCTAACACTTGCATTATCTATTCTTTTTCTGTTCTATTGACTTGTTTTATTTTTATTTAAAAATGACCCTCTAACACTAGCGTTCCCTATCCTTTTTTTGTTCTTTCTACTTGTTTTCTTTTTATTTATTATAAAAACAAAATAAGCAAACAAACAAAAAAAAAAACTTGCTATGTATACCGTTAGGCGAAGCCCCGCCCCTGTCCCCACCCACGAACCCCCTACTGTCCTCTTTTTGAAAAACGAAAATATGGTCACCCTAAGTTTAATAGGCCTGATTTATACTATTCCTATTTTTGTTCTCTCTTTCAGCATTTGCTGAGACCGAAAATGAGAATGGCGAGAGAAATGTGCATTGTCCCAAATGCCCTTCGCCTACTCCTCCAATGCCACCCCCAAAACCAGGTAATACATCTTTAAATCATCTTCAAGTGCAAATACATACTGTCAGTGAACGTATCTATCATTTAAAACATACTGTATTGGGTTTAATGAGTGTCTTAAACTGAACTTAAACTGTCAGCTTTACTTTTAGAAGACATGCAAAGTAATGTAACTCTTTTGATTTGCATGTTTAGTCCCAAGGAATGAAAGATTCCAGTCAGAAGCAAACACACATGAAAGCACCTACCTCAATGTCTCAGGTAAGTCCTTATACACTTCAAAGTATCTGTGAATTTAGGGTTTCGCAGTTCCTTAGCTTTTTTTGAATGTTTTATTGGGTTTCTAATGCATGTTGTTGATCCTCGATTACTGTATGTTTGTGTTTTCCAGATGTTGGAGAGTATGAGGTGGATCAGGCAGCAAGTCCTCCACCTCCTGTCCTGCCACATCTTCCAGGTAACAACAATAGCCCAATGTCCCACATTTCTAAATGAAAATGAATTTTCCATTCCAGCATTTTTTGTTCATTTACACTTCATTTCATTGTTCTTGTTTGATATTTACATTAACAAAGAGTAATAAATGCTGTAAAAAATATATTTACCACATCAGATACCACATCAGAATTCAGTGTCTCCAGAATTAAACAGCAGTTCAGGTGAATTGTTTTTGAGAGATTGTTATCTGGGCTGAAATCATATGAGTGAGGGTGTTGCAATGATGAACTGCTTTATACCTTTAGTCAGAACAAGTTTGACGTCTCTTTGATGCTACTACTAAACACTTAGTCCAAATAAATGTCCCAGTGCTTTGATCACTTCCCTAATACCATTTGGCAGATCTGTGGATTTACTAATAATTTCAATGAAAAGCAGAGGCATCTTAATGTTTTCTGTTTTAATGTAGATGGTGAAAGAAAAGCTTTGGTACCTCCTGGCTACTCTAAAACAACTTCCCGAAGCAACAGTTTGTCAAGCATGCCTAAGAATATTCCCAAGAGTGAGCGGCAACATGTTGACATACGTAAGAACACGTTCTTGTTCTAAATCTTTTACTTTCAAATCAGAACAATATTTCCTGCTTCTGATATCTGCAATTACGCCAACAAATCCATAACTCACTGTGGTTTTGTGCTTAACAGATGAGCTCCAAGAGGTTCTTAATAGGAGACGAAACCAGGAATAAATGTAATCTCAGTAAGATGATGATGATAATAATGATTTCATTGTGGAACGAGGAATCATTCCTTAGTATTAAGCTCGTCTTAAATCTATACTATACAGCTTTACTCGCCTGAACACTGTATCTGAGATATTTGCCCACTGCTGTTCAGTTGGATCCACAAATAGGCCCTTGAATCAAATTTTCTTTATTGATCCTTTCAGCATTATGATGTATTAGTTATCACAATCATTTATTAGACAAACATATCGATCATCATGTGTTGCATTGCATAGCTGCTGACTGTAAATCACTACTGCTGTTTGTGAAGTTATTTAGATGAAAAGTCACATTTAAATATTTTGTCTTCAATTCCTGTGTGTCAGATAAGCTGGTCTACGTCTCCGTTCTCTGTCTCTGATCATAAAAATATCAGGCTTGCTATAATCACAAATGGTTGTTGATAATATGTTGATCTATATTGTGACTTTACTATGTGGGGAAGTTGCAGGTCTTCTTTCTCCAGATCTGAGAAACAGATCAAACAAATGTTGTTTTTCTGTTCCTGTTAAAACTTGTTTTATACTATATATTTTGAGAATACATTGATCATGGGAAAAACGTACACTGTGTCACACTTACTTCCTTGTGTGGATGTGCAAGACAATAAGTATGTTTGGCATTGGTTTTATTGACGTAACAGGTAGTGTAATAGCACAATTTTACAGGTTGACTTTAGTTTCAAACAGTAATGTTTAAAATGTTCAGGTGTTTGACTAAAAGCATTGCAGATTATATTAAGATTAGCCAACAATAAAAATTCTGTCATTAATTACACACACTCGTGTTGTTCTAAAACTGTATGACTTTGTTTTCCAATTCAAGTACCATGTGGAGCTTTCAAGCTTTTAAAAATAATTCAAAAGCAGCATAAAAACAGTCCATACATCTTGTTCGTTATATTTTAAGTCTTTTGAAGTCATTTGATAGCTTTGTGTGATAAACAGTCTGAAATTAAATTTTCACTTTCAATTGAAAAAAAAATTGCTCTCTTAATGAAAGTAGTAGCGATGTCCGATTCATAAATGAATCATTCTTTTGAGTCGGCTCTTTTCAATGAATCAGTCAATCCAATTCAGCCATGAATCAGACTGATTTGGTTCTGGAGTTCAAATGTCTCACTGACTAATTGCAATGGTTCGAATTAACAGTTCACTGGAAGGGAAGATTATCAATATCTGTTGACTTAAATCGCAGTTTCTTACCCAAAACTACCAAATGACTTCATAAACTTTGGAATATATGGAGGACTTTTATGACAATTCACATGCTTTTATATCCTTTATTAAGCTTGAAAGCTCTAGCATTTTTTAAAATTTCTTTTGTGTTCCACAGAAACGAGTCAGTTTTGGAAAAACATGACAGAATTTTCATTTTTGGATTAACTATTCCTCAGCAATGTGGAAAACAAAAATCGCTGTCTTCTGTAATCTGTAATTGCAGCAGGCATACAAAAAAAAGTCAAGTTTGGTAAATATTTGCATCAAGAACACTGAAAAGTACCTTTCTGGGTGACAGATTATGAACATGGACATACACACACACACACACACACACCATTGACTGTGCACAACCAAATGGTTTGTTAAACCTGCCTCCTTCCTCCTCAGATGCTGGAACTGCTGAATTAATACATTCTATAAAAGGCATTTGATTTCTATGATTAAGATTAAGATTATTGTGCTATTCTGATACTGTACGTTTAAAATGTTTTCGGAAGCAGCTACTGTAGCAGAATTCGAGGCATATAATTAAAGACATTCAGTGTGTAAACAATACAGTTTCGTTTGAGAATTCAAACAATAACACCAACATGCTGCTGTTGCACTGAAATAACTTCAAATGTGGCTCAAATACTGTGATTTGAATGAACAAATGCTACAAAAAAAAAACATAACTTTTGGCCCTAGTGATATGCACATGAACTCAAGGCTATTAAAGCTTTTAGCATGTTGAAATAGAGTAATACCACATCATGTCTCAATTCAGGACACTGAAAGGCATAGGATCCAGATCAGTGAGCTAAAAGGAATGAGGAAAGCAAACTAGAGCAGCTCTCCCCCTGGGCTGGGAAGACATACTGATGATAGGAAGAGCCTCCAGGCTTTGTTGTGCCAGTGTTATGTCAGGGTTGCCAGATGTTCTCCAAACGTGTGTACGTGTAGCAGTTCTAGAGTGAAGTATGATTTAAGTAAGGCTGGCATTAGAGCTGCTTGTATTACTGTTTCGCTTCTGACCGCTCAGCACGATGCTGGGTACCTGAAGGCCCGTCCGCACTGAGAAACTCCCATTCCACACCTATAGGGGGCGAAAGAGAATTTCAGCATCACCACCATTAAGCTTCTGATAACTCTTGCAGTCTTTATGTAAAAAACATTTTCTCTGAAAGTTTGAGTTAGAATAGTTTGTAAGTGCACTAAAGTTGGACTAGTGAGTCGATGAGTTTTCCCGTTCAGTGTGATGACATTTTATGTCCTCGGCAACCTCTGTAGTCCCATGTAGCTACTTGTTAGTAAAAGCTTAAAAATGACAAGGGGGTATTACTGATGTATTTTGTTGTAGAATAAAACGGGAAAATATATTGAGCTTGTGATAACCACAAAACCTATTTCAGGCTTTTAGCCAAAAAAGGTTTTCAGGTTTTGGCCTACAAAAAATGTCATCCTAACAGCACTCTACTCGCATAAAAGTCTCAACACTGTCAAAATAAATGTCCCGTTTCTGACACTTATCACCCAAACAGAAAAACGTATCCATCAGTAAGGCAGATTGTATGTTAGTCTAACTTGGTACTGTGCAAGTTTGTAGGTCACTTTGGATAAAAATGTCTGGTGGTAAACAAATAAATGTAGACTTTTTCTTATTTTTTTAGTAAGTTAGTTAAAGTTGCACTGCATTTGAAGCACCGCTCTTACAAGCACACATATCCAGACAAACATGTTGTGATTTGCGTATTTTTTTATTTTTTGCAGCAATTTGTGCCATGACTGTGCATTTTTATGATGGTGCCAAGTTAAAAATAGACCTGCATTCTGTTCCATTCCATTGCACTCCACTTAGATGTTTTTGAATGCAAGAATGCATCTTACGCAAAGGACTCTGAAACATACCTGTTTAGCTTAATTATAGCCGACTAGCATGTTCAAAATATCCCTAATTTATGTGTGATTAAATACAAAGTGAGCTGTATTATATCTTACCATAAAGGCTGGTATAACAGGCTGCTGGAACTTGGTTCTGAAGGTATGAAGGAGAGTTTTGGTTCTAGAGTTGTAAAAAGACAATGTGCCTGAAAGGGGAGAGGAAAAACAAGAACAAACTAGTTAACAAGTAACTAATTAGTGGTTGACCGATATGCATTTTTTTGATGGCCGATGCCAATATCTTAAAGAGCAGGGTGATTGATGGCCAATGTAAAGATATACAATATCATGCAATTTAATTTAATTTAAAGATACAAATGACACATGCTGCAATTAAATTTATGTTTACAAATGATTTACCAAATAAAAAAAAAAGTGAAAAATAAATATGAAAAACCTGATGGGGAAAAACTGTAAAATAAACATATTTATACTTTATAGAGCAACTTATTGATTCTATAATCAGATTTTAGTATTTTTCACAATTAAAGAAAAATAGTGACTATTTGTTCGCACAAAAGTCCTGGCACTGTCAACATAAAACTCAGCTAATGCCAATAATTAAAAAAGCCAAATACTGCCCACAGCAATATATCTGTCAACCACTATATTAAATATACAATCTGTGACTGCTGCAACCAGTCGGTTCTCACACAGCCAACATCATCCATTTGCTTTTACCATAGCTAACAAGTTAGTTTCATCATTACTGTGGCACTATTTTACTCATTTAGTCATATTTATAGCTTAACTCACCTTCTTCGTAGTTGCAGTAAATGCCGATGTGGTCGGGAATGGGGCAGTCCAGTGTTCTGGCTTTATTATTGTGCTTGGCTGTGAGGCTCTGCTGAAGCCAGTTGTTAAGGTGGATGCACCAGGAAGCGTTACTCTTCCCAAGCTGATCAAAGCGACTTAGAGACCGCAAAGCGACTCCTGCCGCAAACGCCTTACTCTCCTTATCAAACCGTACCTCCCAGTAATGCTGCCCTGCATCGATCATGGTGTCTCCTGGACATTGGAGAGAATTTGGGGAGTTTTTGAATGAACACTCTCAAAGTTGAGGGTTCTTCAGTGTCTTGTAGCTCAGTGCAATATGTTTGTGTTGACTCACCTAAGACAGTGTAGGACTCTGCTGTGAAGCGGTCCCGGCCCACTCTAGCAGATGGAGCTCTTTTGGGGGACATCATGGCTGTCCTGAGGGAGAAAAAAAAATTATAAGATTGGACAAGCAGGGCAGTTTTCTGGCTTAAGGCTGGGTGAACATTCCAGCAAAGGCTGCTTTTGGCACACAATTTAGCCAGTGACAGCATATGTAAAGAGGCCATGCTGAACATCTGCTTTCTGTCTACTATAGTCAGCTAGGAGAAGCAATCAACAAATTTATTTGATGGAAACAGCTGTTTAGGGGCAATCCTGTCTGTGTACAGCACTTTGTAAGTGTCCTAAAATAGTAGGTGTGACTCTGACCTGGCAGGAGAATGCATAGGAGAGCTGGTCCTGTTCTTCTCCTTACGGATGTCCTGGACAGCTACCTTCCCACCGCTGCTGTCCCATTCCACACTGAGATCCTCCACCTTCAGGTTCTGATGGGCTGAACCTGCGTCCAGTTTAAAGACGAATGCTGGAAGCAAATGACAGGGAGACTTAAAGGTAAGAGGTTAAGTTTGTTTTTCTAAAAAATAAAATGTTATTTTTCATGTTTTCAGCACTTCCCAAATAATCTAGGCCTGCACGAGGTAAAAAAATAAATAATAATTTGTGATTTGATTTTTTTTTAAAGATAAAAATTGTGATTGGGGAAAAAAAAACTAGGTTTTCTGTGCTTGTTTTGTGATTACATATCAGTATGACTAAATAAGAATAATAATAATTATTATTATTTATATTATTTTACCAAATAAAAATATTAAACAAAATAAGAAAGATTGCTTTTGTAATATTTTACTGTAAAATAAAAAGTATTTCCGAAAATAAAATAAAGAAAAATTGTAATTGTAATTTCAGTTCAATATAACTTTTGTAAGTTATATAAGTATATTGATATAACAACTGTAATTGTACTGTTGAACTGTAAAAGAAAATTATTATTACATTATTTTTCATAAGTAGCTGCTTGTACGTAAAAGAACACAGTGCTGTGCTTCACTTTGAACCATGTAGCGCTTATATTTATTAAATTAAATAACAGCCTTTGCGATCTGATAATCGTGTATTGCAGTTTCACTTTATTTTAATTAATTGTGCAGCCCTATATATTTCCATAATTTAAAAAATTGAAATTGCATGATCGGCCAATTAATCAAATTAAATCACGATTAATCACATAATCTAAATATAGACAATTAAAAAAAATTATTATGCATTGAATAGGCATTCAATGGATAGGTAAGGGGGCATTATTACTTGCTTATATTTTTACTGTTATTTTAGAATTAATTACACTAAATTTACATTAATTAACATATTAATTAAAAAAAACACTTGACCCTCTAACACTTGCACTCTTCTATTGTCCTCATTTGCAAGTCGCCTTTGATAAAAGCGTCTGCTAAATGGCTAAATATAATGTGATTTAATATAATTAAAATAGATTAACATTAAATTGACAGCCCTAACTTTTATTTCACAAAAGGGCAGACGTACTACAGCAGTGGTCTCTAAATCAGGCTTTAACAGACTGTTTAGTAGGTGCTTTTACAGTGCTTTGTAACTTCTGTTAGACTCTTCTCTCTGTGCAGAGAAGAAACTTCATGCCTCATTACCTTCTGTGTGTGTGTGTGTGTGTGTGTGTATGTGTAAATGCAACTTACCATGTGTTTCTAGAGTAACCAGCTCTGAGAATTCACCCGCCACAGCTTTATTGCATGCCTTCACTCTGAAGGTCATGTAACGCGTGTCAAAACGAAGGCCTGAAAAACAAATGACATCATGGTCACAACTTTATCTAAAACTTCTCAAGAAAAGATCACTTGCAAAACAAATATCAACACTTACCCGTGAGTGTGTACTCAGTCTCTTTTATCCCTTCCACCACCATCCAGGGGTAGTCTTCTCGAGCCCGAGGAGGACCTTCATGATTTGTTCTCCGATATTCCAGGATATAGTGGTCGATTTTGGAGTCGGGTTCAGGTAAGGTCCACACCACTGTGACTGTGTTATCAAACACCAGGCATTCAGCC